GGTTTTTTTTTTAGTACAATGAATTTTCTAATCAAAGGAGACAATTAATTCAATACGGTGCGATTATATCTGCCATCTAGCAGTAAATTCTTTTTACAACATCCTAGCCTTTTTTAAAGCAATAAATTAAAATCTCTGTTGGAGCTCTACTTACTTAGTATAGGTCTGAATTCTAACTTTCTGTCAATGAATGGGAAAGAGTTGACATTGTGGAAAGGGGGATGCCCACCACTCTTTTCTTTTCTATATTACCAGTTAAAATGTGGGGACATGGTAGTCAGCTTGCTGTTTTTTAAAGTGAATCTTGGAGACCATCAACAAAATCAAAGTACAAAATCACAACTCACATTAAAAACATAAGGGACATGGTATTTTTAAATTTACAGAAACAATCCTAGATGCATCTGTTATGGGAAATTACACAAAAATATAGCAGAGCATCCAAAATACAAACAGGATATTTGTTGAACATTCGGTTCACAGCTAGCAGTGCATGAAGTGTCGTATGATGTGACTGTAAAGAATTTAGAGCTTAGGCAGGCAAAGATGCAGAGTCCTGTCTTTAAAAATCACAAAAGGTTCATTTACAATAGAAAGCAATCACGACATTTCTTTATAGTAAATTACTGGGTCTGAGCTACTCTAACACCCATCTCTTCTAAGTTTTCAAGAGAGGGAAAAATCATCCAAGCACTACATCTCTCCTGACACACAAGAAGAGAGAGATCTCAAAAACACATAACACATATTCAAAATGTCAAAAGCTAAAGTAAAGGCTTGCAATATAGAAAAGTATCAATTTTACACAACCAATCAGAATTAGAGCAGAAACAGAGAGGACAGAAGAAATTGATACATTCCCAACTATCATTTAGGAGACATTTCAGAAGGGAAACCCTCAGCCTATTTTAAGCTAACTAACTTATTCCTCATTGAGGACTGGAGACTTGTGCAGCGTAAGGTTGAATCCCAACAACATCTACATGAAGTTTGACACTGCTTTAATTGCTAAGGCTCAATGCTATAGAATCCTGCAATTTGTAATTTGGTAAATTGTAGTTTGGAATTTTAACTCTGAATATGCATTGAATATGTTTGAATAATTTTTAATTGTGAAGTTTTAATACTGTATTTATATTTAATTCTGTTTTAATGTTTGTATATCTGTATATTTTAGATTGTGTAGTAATGCTTTATATTAAGCTGCTTTGAGTCCCTTTTTTGAGAAATAAAGCGGGATATAAATAAATATAATAAATATAATAATAATAATAATAATAATGCACCAGCATTGTTTAGCAGATAAGGCTAAAGACCTTGTTTAAAAATCTCTTACTATGCACTCTTACGAGGGTTGAATGAAAATTAATGCCTCCACCTTCGTAACTCCTCAACAGATGGCAGTACTGGTATGCAGCAGGTACTGGCTTGTTCAGTAGACTCTCCTCTACAGTTCCATTTTGGTGGGAAGTCTTAGCATTGAATGGTTGTGTTGTTAAAGTGCGAAGTATGGAACCCTGATGGTCGGTCAGTGCAACTTACGCAACGTGCAGTCATTGAATTTTTGACAGCAGAAGGTGTCACCCCAAAGGAGATTAATCAGAGAATGCAAGCTGTTTATGGCTGATGTGAGTACTGTGCATCGTTGGGCAAGTAAGTTTAAAGTTGTTGAGGTGGAAACATCTGACTTGCATGACAAACAAAGCATTGGATGTCCTGTGACAGCAACCACCGAGTTTCGCAAACAAAAGGTTGACAGATCGTCGTATCACTCAGAGAGAAATTTCAAGCATAATCAGCATTTCACAAGAACGTGTGGATCACATTATTGCTTTGCTTGGCTATCAGAAGATCTGTACACGATGGGTTGCGGAAACAGAGTGTCGACTTCTTCCATGATGGCTTCAGAAAACCTGCTCATTGTTGGGAGAAATGTATCCAATTGTCTGATGATTATGTGAAAAAGTGAATAGTGGTTGTTAAAGAGCACATTCTAAGGATTATTTCTGCGTTTGATTTATTAAAATATTCACATCCAAACCTAAGTAACAAAGGTGGAGGCATTACTTTTCATTCAACCCCTGTAGTATGTGGTTCTGAGGTTTAAAAATGGGTAAAAGCTGAATCAGGAGGCACTATAGATTCTTGACATCCTCGGCCATAGAAAATGTGAGACTAGACCATCTTGTTCCATGTAAGTGACAAGGGATTGTTTAGTTACAGGCAACAAAGATCCTTGTTATGTTCAAAAGCTGCTCACTGGCTCAAAGATGTTCAAGATATAATTTACTTTGTAATTGTACAATTCCTTAAGATTATATCCTAGAGATGGCTCCAAGCTTTGCGATTCCCCACCAGCCTGATCTAATCTTTCTTATTTAGAACAAAACTTTCCTTTTCATAGTTGTCTGTTAAGCTTCATTGTCACTCTGACTGTTCAGGCATACAAGGCTAACTTTACCCCAGGGAGAATGCAGGGGAAAGTGATTTTGCTTCAATTTATTCATCATGCCATTTCTCACAGGGGAAAAGGAGGGAGAGGCTATAGGAGTCTAGGTAGCTAGCTGGTAATTCCTGGTTATCTAGATCTCTCTTTTTTGCTCAAGGGTTCAGTGCACCTGATCAAGAAGCCAAGTTATTAAAGTCATGGACCTGTCCAGTGTCTGCAGGGAAGATCTACGTAAGCCGCTTTGAGATTTCCGAAGACCTTTCCAAGTGAGATAAAAGCATAAAAATTAAATGTCATGCTCAAAATCTGTCATACTAATACCCTTCACTGCATAATGATTATTAATATAAATTCATATTGGCCTGAAACTGTCTGCATTCCAACTGCATGATTATCTAACACAAAAATCCATCTTATGCCGGGGAATAGATATTTGTTAGGTCTGGGGTATGATATTAGTCTCCTCAATGCTCTACATAAGAGCCTTCTCTCTATATTACACTTAAATTTTATTTCCAAAGCCCACTTTATGATATTTTTGTATTTAGGATCCATGCCAACGATCTCATTTTATGTAGCATGGAACTGACTGAAATGCAGGCATAATAATCTCTGAAATGCCGACATAATCACGTCTTATGTGTATACAATATTATATAGCCCTGGGAAACCCTGGCCTTTGAGCGCTCTAACCGGAGATCAGCTGTGACCAGCAGTGCTGTGGAATTTGAAGAGGCATGAATGGAGGGCAAAAGGGAGAATGTGCCAAGAGGAAGGCACGTCAAACCAACCTTGACCTGGAAACCGATGTCCTCACTGTGGAAGAACATGCAGGTCAAGAATAGGGCTCTACAGTCACCTATGTATCCACCACCAAGACACTACACTTGGAAGGCCATCATACTCGGACAATGAAGGATTGCCTTAGTAAGTAAGTAAGTAAGTAAGTATTACCAAACCTCAAAGAGAGCGTGTGTGTTCATTAATTATAATTAAAATTCTATTAAAAATTAAAATTAAAATATGGACTTGCATATGCAGCCTTATACTGACTAAAGTCTTCCAACCAAGTGTTTCACGATGCCCTGGTGTCAGAACATATCAAAGCATTGGCTCCCATGTAATGTGGACAGTAACATCCATTCCTTTTGGTCTCTCATCAAGATAAAGGTTCCAAATATGTAGAGTGACCTCAGTTACTCATTTGCATTTTTGAATGTGTATTCTACAGTTATCACCATTTTCACATTAGAAACAATTATAGAGCAAGATCCTTCAGTTCTCATTTTCTTCGCATCCAGGATACAATTCAAGAATGTATGCATGAATTTTAATTCAAGAAAAATACTGTAATACAGCTATGGTGATATCCTTCCATTTCTAGTCTTATCCGAAATGGAAAACCCTGAAGAACTGTATTTTGTAGGTATGGGATCATTTTTACTGGGGAAATGAGTCTTCTAATGACATCAAAATGTGACAATTTCAATCTACATTCACGATTCACCAAATATCTACCGTGTCTAATATTCCCCTACTTCCAGGTATTTTTTATTCATTATTCTACAGTAACAATGAATAAATGCTCGAGCCTTTACTCACAAGAAAAGGACTACAATCGACTGATTTTTAAAAGGTTTGTATCTTAGGGTCCTTCCAGACATACCCTAAATCCCAGGATCTGATCCCAGGTTTTCTGCCTTAAACTGGATTACATGAGTTCACACTGCTAGATAATCTGGGATAAACAGAAAACCTGGGATCAGATCCTGGGATGTAGGGCCTGTTCGGAAGGGCCCGCAGTGGCAGAACCATGCTAGCGGGCAGGAGATCCCAGATTCAATCACTGGCACTTGAAGATAAGACTAGGGGGAAAATCTACCTAAAATTGTAGAATGCAGCTGTGGGTCCCCAGATGTTCTTTTTTTTCCATGTCAGGAGTGACTTCATGTGACAGAATTGGTCGTCTGCAAGGACGTTATTCAGGGGATGCCTGGATGTTTTGATGTTTTACCATCCTTGTGGGAGGCTTCTCTCATGTCCCCTGCATGGGGAGCTGGAGCTGACAGAGAGAACTCATCCACACTCTCCCTGGATTTGAACCTGCAACCTGTTAGTCTTCAAGTTTGATGCAAGGTTTGACTCAGTCATGACAACCCACTGGGTGACCTTGGACAAATCAGGGGAAGGCAATGGCAAACCTTCTCTAAATAAATTCTGTCAAGGAAACCCCAAAAAGCATTGCTATAAACCAAAGTCTGCTTAAACTTAAAAATGATTTTCACCAAGCTATAGAGCCTAATCTCAATTGCTTTTGTTGTCACTTCTCAAATTGTGAAGAGGCGTTAACTCCAAATGGTGTGATGACAGAACTATTTCTTAGATCAGGCAATATACCCCATTCCATTTCTAAATGTTTGCATATTTCTTGAACAACAGATGTTTACATTGTGCCTAAATTCAATACATGTACAGTAATGTGCTTGTTTTCTAAAGGAATGTTAAAATGAAACATCTATGAAGGTGTTCAGTTCCATCTACAGATTGTTACCTGGGAGAAAGGGGATGATTCTCTGCTTGGGATCTTTCTGGCCTCCTTCGATAGGGAATTTATCCAGAAGCTGCATCTGCAAAAGAAATATTTAGTGTGAACAACAGTCCGTCGCCTCCTTTTTTCCACTCCCTCACTTGCATCAACACAGTCTATTTCTTTGATTATTCCCCACTGAAACAAATCAAGACATTTACAGCTGTGATTAAGGGCTGAAAATAGAGTTGAACTCGACTTTCAGTGAACCCTTATGAAGAGAGGCAGATTTCCCAAGAGGAAGAATTACATCAGAATTGGGATAAAACCAAAGTCTGGCATTCTGCAATTCCCAATTAGCCAATCTCTCCTTTACATTGAAAAATAATGAGTAAATGACTTGACCTTAATCTATGTTCTGTGTTGCAATCATGGAGGGTCCACCTACTCTCCAAGACAGACCACCCACCTGGTGAGAACTGCTGCTTCACAATCACCAGAGAGGTTGTTTCAGTGAGTATCAGATGTGGTTGTTGGCAAGCCTCACCTAACTCCCCCACATTACTGTGCTTCCCCATGTCTCTTGATGGACAGGCATATATGAAGCAGGAGGAGATTCCTGGGGATCTGGAAATGCTCTCTTCTTGTAATCCCTAGAACTTGGTTGGAACAAATGCGTTTCTTCCCAAGTGGAAGGTTGTATCAACCTTTCTCAAATAGTCTCCCTTCCTCACTGACCACACACTGTCTGCAAATTTAGCTCAGTGTGCGGTCATACCAAATGGAGTACATTACATACATAATATATAGAACATTTGGCTAAACGTTTTTCATAACAGAACAAATAAATATTTAATCTATACAAATATTGAACGTATTAAGGCAGAAGGAGGGAAAATGCTTGGCATGGTAAATTGCTGAGTTTCAAAAAGGTTTTGCAAGGACTGCTTTTCTTTTCAAGCACCATGACAAATCAAATAATGAACCAAAAAAATGAAATTGCTGGGTGGGATGAGAGGAGTTGGCTAGGAACACCGGTGTGCAACCTGAAAAACTTGTATTTTGGGGTTATGACTCCTAGAATTCCCCCAGGAATGGATGCATACATGGCAGGTCAAAAGATTCCAGGATTGCATGGATATACTTTAACTGTGTGGGGTATGGCTGGACCTTCTTGCCGAGAGTTCTGGGAACTAGAATAGCTCTAGAATATTATGAGCAATGGCTTATGCAGAATCCAGTAAATCTCTCATATGAAATTGGTTTGCAATTTAGTGTGGTATATGTAAACCTATGCAACTTTTACTGAAGACAGAAGCTGACAGAATAAAAGGGGCTGCTTAACACCTGAGCAAGGTGGATTGAAAAAGACTTCATTTGTTTTGTCAAAGGCTTTCATGGCCGGAATCACTGAGTTGTTGTGTGGTTTCCAGGCTGTATGGCTGTGTTCTAGCAGCATTTTCTCCTGATGTTTTGCCTGCATCTGTGGCTGGCGTCTTCAGAGGATCTGGAATCTTCAGAGGCATCATCTGAAGATGACAACCACAGATACAGGTGAAACATAGGAGAAAATGTTGCTAGAACATGGCCATACAGTCTGGAAACCACAAAACAGCCCAGACTTCGGTTGGGCTGTCCCTATCTATGTCCTGTCTCTCCTACATACTAACTACATACTAACATACTAACATAATGTTCAGTGTCCCACAAGCCTATGTACTTTAACCCTAATAGATTTTTCATTCAAAAAGTCAAATGATGCTTCCAGACCCTGGCCTTATACACTTATTAACATTACCCTGGGCTTTGCCTATTGCACCCCCCTTCAACTAGACCAGTGTTCCCAACCTTTTTTTTTTGACCAGGGACCACTTTCACCAGGAACCACTTGGACGGGACCACTTTCCAACATTGGTACCAAAAGGGTTACGAATCAGTTTTTGGTCAACTTTAGATTCAGTTTGGTGATTTGGGGTACTGATTCAGAAAATTGCATTGGATAGACCACATCAGCTCTAGTTTCTGATACAGAACATATGCCACCTTCTCGCCCACAGAAAACCATATTTAATAAGCCTCCTCACTATAAGAGTGTTTCACAAGACCAGTCGCTTTCATTGCAACGGTATAGTATTTTAGTTCTTGCGGACCACTGGTGGTCCATGGACCACAGGTTGGGAACCACTGCACTAGACTGAAGATTTTTTTAGTATTAAGAAATTGTCCCCAGGCTCAGTTGCCACCCCACCTTCTTTTACTTTTACGTCAAGTCTTTTTAGAGTATAAGTCCAAGGGCTACGATCGACTTTCCTTTTTATTGCTGTGTAAGAGACTCTGAGAGCATTTCCAGTTGTACAAGCTGTACAAGTTGCACAACTGGAAGGTTTCTATTTGCCTCCTTTAAGCTTTTGGAGCTGTAGAGAGGTATTGCAGAGTAGCCTGTTATGAAAATAAGCACGTTTGCTCCAGGAAAGGAGCCAACCTAAATATAAACAAAGATAAGATGAAGGTAATAACCTAGTTAGAATAACAACAATCCTGACAGCACGAGGTTGCTGGCCTAATGCCAGCAAAACACCTTCACAATTGCACACACAAAAAAAGGAGACATCAATAAGTTGGGAGAGAAAATGAACCCCAATGTGTACACTAGATGAAACAGGTAGACTAGTAATGGCTTTTATCTTCTTGAAGATCCCTCTTTGGATTGAATGAGTTTTTTTTCAATGTCAGGAGCAACTTGAGAAACCGGAGCTGACAGAGGGAGCTCATCCAATGAGAGAATAAAGGAGAAGCCCCGGTGGTGCAGTGGGTTAAACCCCTGTGCCGGCAGGACTGAAGACCGACAGGTTGCAGGTTAGAATCCGGGGAGAGGCGGATGAGCTCCCTCTATCAGCTCCAGCTCTTCATGCGGGGACATGAGAGAAGCCCCCCAGAAGGATGATAAAAACATCAAATCATCTGGGCGTCCCCTGGGCAATGTTCTTGTAGACGGCTAATTCTCTCACACCAGAAGCGACTCTCAAGTCGCTCCTGACACGACAATAAATAAATAACCCTTTCTTGATGAAACTTGGAATTTAATACTCAACCAAATGCTGATGTATAGATAAGGTTAAATAGATACACTAGGAGAAGTGTAACACTTCACTGTATAATTCTAATAGCAATATAAGATTGAGCCACGACTAAGTCAAGATCTAAATAATGTAAGCAGCTATTGGTATTACTAGAACAATCATAATATAAATGTTGGAAGTTGTTCTGTTACTCTCCTGATAGACCAAAGCTTAAGAATGACTAAAGGGATGGTGATCTGATGATTGGATAGAACTGGGTTTTGTAACCTTGGAAACCTAGGTGACCAACATGAAAATCCTAGAAAATCCAAGCAGACTGAGACCGACAGGTAGAAAGCTAACCATACAGGGTTAGTCAAAATGAATAGGCCAATAAGAAAATTAATTTTAGACGAATGTATGATTCTAATAGTTTTTTGTAAATCGTTTTTATCAATTTTTTGTCCTTCGCCATGACTGATTCCCAGAAGTTGTCT